TACTTCGATTGCTTTCCGAGGCAAACGAATTTGAGGAAATGAATACATGGCACCTTCAGTGAAGTTGCAAATAACATTTTTGCAGCTGTTGAATCCATCGTTCATCATCCTTGCTCTTCTTCTCAAGGATTCAAGGATTCCTTTAATGCCATTTTATTCCATGTGATAATCGAACCCAGTCAGTGATTAAAATACAAACCTAGTAAATTATGGGGGCTTATAGCATGAATAAAACATTTTCTAGATATTCTTATACAAAGGACTAAAGTGCAACACATCAACAATTTAGGGATTAAATCAGGCATTCGACCAAAGCATGTAAACATTCAAACAGTGGTAAAAATGTAAAAGCAATAAAATGGAAGCCTCAAATTATAAAGGTCAAAGTCTCATATTTAGTGACTAAAATAAAATGTTACAAAATATGGAGGATTACGGAATGAAATGCGCACCCAAGACCCCTGAAACGACGTTGTTTTGACACGGGTATATAAACCCAGATCCAAGGCCTAAAATGGCCTAAGTCTTTCATTTTTCCCTTTTTCTATTTTTTTACCAAAAGGAGAAATCATTTTTCTCTCAACTCTCTCTTCACTCTTCTCCGCCGAAGGAGTCACATAGCCTTCGGTCACCACATGCCAACGCCGTCGACAATCGTCCATGGTGGCTAGTACTCCAACCAAATCCCAAAAAGGAACCCTCTCCCTCTCCTAAGTCTATATCCAAGCCCCTTCAAGCCTAAAAACCCATGAAACACCCTAGATCTAGGGATTTACCTTCGAAAAACACCACTTTCCGACAATGTTTGGCTTCCCAATGAGCGACAATGGACGGTAAGCTCATCCTCTCTCATTCATCTTCTTCTTCTTCTTCTTCTTCTTCTTCTTCTTCTTCTTTTTGTTTTTCTTTTTCAAGTGTTTAATGCTCTAGCCAAGGAGGAAACATCACTGGGGTCAACGGCTTGAGCAAACGACGGTGATGTCATCAAAAGGATAGGTAAAAATTAACCCTGAGGCTTGCTTTGACATTTTTTGTGGTGACCATCATATATCTCAGCGGTGGTGACAGATCTCGGGAATGAGATGGGTCATAGGTGAGGATTCATTAGGGATCGTTGGATCAGATCTGATCCAACAACTGAGATCGTGAACGGCGCGGATGAGTTGCAAGGGTTTAGGATTAAACCTTAGCCTAGGGTTGATTTGGATTGTTAGATCAGATCTTGATTCAACGATTAATATGGAGCGATGACAGAGACAAAACCTTAGCTACCATTGGGTTGTCATGTGGGCCATTATTGGGCCCCATTTTTGCATTTAGGCTTGTACAACTAATTAATAATAATATTTTTTTATTTGTTTACAATAATAACTATAATAATTGATGATGATGATGATAATAATAATGGGGTCGAAAAATGGTGATTATAGACCTGCTCATAAAATCCATCTGATGTGGGATCTGGAAGAAAATTTGGGGCTCATTAAAAAATTAAGATTTTAAGGGTTTCAATTGTGAGTGTGTTTAACCAATGTAAATTTATTAATCTCCATTCTTCAAGCTTTAATTCAAGTTTCATTTCTTAAGTTTTTCATTAGTTAGCAAAAATGGGTTTTTGTGGAAGTCAATGGAGTGGATGGATTTTTAGTTGCTCTAGTAGATTTCAGTTATAGAAAACGTTTTTTTAGCATTAATCCAACCATTTAGTTGAGTTAGTAACACCTTTACTTACCTTTGTTAGTAAAAGAGGTGGGAGAAAACTCAAGAGTAAGAGGTAAAGAAAAGTTAACCTTGGATTGATTTGGGGAGAGTTCTAGCCATCAAAGAATCAAGGTAACATATTTACAACTCCCTTATACCATTTGTGGGTCACTAGAAAATGCATGATAGCTAGAAAGTTGAGATTGAAGCATGTATGATCATCCATGGCATATTCTAGCTTATGGTGTTATTTAACTTATTTAAAGCCCCTTTATGATCCATTTTATCATGTATAAACTTATGTTGGTCAATTGGAAATGTTGGAATGGTTTTTTGAGGGTTTGGAAGTGTTTAAACGGGTAAAAATTTGAAGTTGCAGAAGAGGTTTTGAAACCCTTATGGTTGGTTTCAAAACCTTTTGTCCATAATGTAATTTCAGGCAAAGATTTCGAAACCTCTACAGTAGGTTTCGAAACCCCCTTCTCATACCTAAAAAACAATTATGTTGAGGTTTCTAAACCTCTACAATATGTTTTGAAACCTTTGATTGATTTTGGCCAAATTAGCCAAGAATGGTACACGAATGGTTGTGGACTTATAGTATGCTTCTAATTGGGATAATTTCAAATAAAACGATAAGTGAGAACGAAATATTGCTAAATACAATTAGAAACGATAAAAATTAAGGCGACATAAAACTAACCTTAATTGATGTTCAGGAAACGATCAGGACACCCAAGTTCCTTTAGTAGGATTATGGTATCGAAGTATAGAATCGGTTCAGATATCCTTAGGTAGTGCGCAAAGCACTTTAAACCAACTAACTAGGGTCGAGGCCCGACACTCGCGAGGGGTGGGTTAGTCGAGGTGTTATGTCCGATGTAGAGATTTCGGGTCTCATCTTCGGTAGACTAGAGGGGTGTGTGAGCTCTGAGATGCAGAACCCTCAACCGCACCATGATGTCTACCATAGAGTAGAGAGTGCAATATACGAGTATACTCACTATTTCATTATTATGAATTAGCTTGTTCATGACATTAACACTTTTAGTATGACTTAGTTGTTAGTGTGACGTTGGGCTAGTTAGCTCAGCGTTTGGAATTTGTTTCCTTACGTAGGTTAGGTCGAGGAGCAGTTAGATGACCCTTTTGCCAGCAGCCAGACCAGACTAGTGCAGGGTATGTCTCAAGTTCATCTTAAAGGGCATGTATATTTGTAAACCCCATTTTGTATATTCGAATTGTAACTTATTTTAAAAGATGATCTCTATAATTTGAAATATTATTTTGGGAGCTCCTGATTGTAAACTATTTTATTAAAATTTGTGGTTGATTTATCTTAGCATGAGTACTTACAGATGATCATTTTTTTAAATGAAGAAATTAAAAGAATATTTTTGGTCAGCCACTCTACTGGTTTGTACGGCATTCTGATCGATCGAATATGTGTTGTATTGGTCTAGGGCGTTACAACCTTTTTCTACTCTAAACCAAAACCCCCACCCTCCACAAATTTAACTTAACGCTCACGATTCAATCTAGTATTTTCATGATATCATGAAATATAAGGCTAATTTACGTCGTGATCGGTTTAAGAGATAATCGATAGAATTTAAAATGTTATCTTATATGATTTAATGTTGTCTTGTTAATTCTAAAAAAGTTACATATTTAATAAAAATTCCAGTTACGACCTATATTGTTACATGAGTTTCTCTATTAAATAAAATTTACCATTGAGGATATCATTTTACGTTATAACCTTAAAAATATATGATTTACATAATCTATTATAGACAATGTAATATTTTCAGTTAAAACCTAAAATATTAATTGTCCACTCTAAAAAGTGATATTTGGTAATAATTTTAGTTACAACTTTCTCAATTGAATAAAATTTATAACTAATCGTAATTTTTTATGTTTTAACTTAAAATATTATTTGAATTTTTTTATTTAGTATGGGCATAGGTATCTTGATGCTTATAGTTGTAGCAGAGGAATCCCAGCTGCAGTACGGAGGTATCCGACACTCCTGGATAACCCGCATAGCAGTGACAGCTAAAGTGTGGGACAACTTCACCCTACAAGAATCATGTAGAGGTATCTCTGGGCTTTAAGGTGAAGGTTTTCTAATGCCGTATGAGGTGGTAATGTAATACTCTATGTGGCATTAAAATTGTCTTTTATTCACTTTTCTAAAGTTAATTTTTTAAAATTTTGACCACAATTATTTTTAATATTTTAATAAAATATATTTTAAAATTATTTGATTTTATGTTGTTAAAATATATTTTTCATATTTTTATAAAAAAATAAAGAGTCAAAGTTCAACAAAACTAACTAAAAAAGTCAATAATAGATATTTTAAGTGGGACGGAGTTAGTAATTCATATTAACACGACAAAGGCATCCCAACACTTTCGGTCAATATTAAGAGTGTTAATGGAGTAGTAGAAGCATCTCAACACTTGTGCCCAGTTTAGATGGGGTAGCTCAGTTTGCAGTAATGTACAACAGGCATAGCGGAGGCACCTCCACGCAGTGAATTTCTTTCTGTATGATTAAGGTATCTTTATCTCGGTAGAAACGAATAGTTTGAATACCTCTTGCTAGGGAAAAAGGGATCGAGTCCCACAAGGTTCTTAACCTTGAGGTCGTGGGATCGAGTCCCACGGAGGGCATTTCATAATTCGGAGGTCTTCTACGGAAGCTGCTCTCAACCTGGTGTTGGGGGCAGCCTACTATCTTACCTCCCCTTACCCTATTACATATGGGAACAAGGGACAACCATTTACTAGGGAAAAAGACGTCTTGACGCTCGTTAAAACATAAAGTAGTCACTCATATTTCAAGAGAGGAGGTTTTTCATCCTTTTGGGTAATTTCCATAAGTTGTAAACTTAGAGTGAAGGCATCTTGACTCCCGACGGAGGTAATTCTATGGTGTCCGAGGGTGGAGGCCTTTGTTTCCCTTGGTTGACAGAGGTATCTTGACTCTTTTCGTCAATTAATGTGGAGACAACTCAACACATTCAGTCAGAGAGAAGGCGTCTCCACTATGACAGCACGGTAAAGGCATCTCAATGTCAAGACATCATGACGGAGGATATAAATTAACTAATCATAGTACTAGCAAAATCTTTCTCATTTTAATAAACGGAAGAAGATGAACTCTGGTCTTTTGTACGTATTAGGAGTGTTCAAGTGCTAGAGAGTACGCTAGAAGGTGATTTTCTCCTAGTTTTGTTTAAGGAGCAGTTAAGTTTCGATATAGCTATTGTCTAAATCTAAGGTAGATAAAGAGAAGTAGCCAGTAGCTTTATTATTTATGTCAAAAGTCGTACATTAGTTACTACGTGGGTAAATCAACAAGAAACACCCCAAATACACAAACATAAGACAACATCAACAAAACACTAGAAAAACAAACGACAGGTCCATGAAACACACTAATAAGTCCTACAGGCTCAGCTAGAAATCCAACTGAAGGGCACATTGGATGCCTGCTTAGCCCTTAATAGAGCCCTCTCCTCCAACCTTCTAAGCCTTTGAGGAAGTTCACACACAAAATCTTGAGCTATTCTCCCATTAGCCGAAAGTCCAGTTAGGTCCTCCACCTTCCATCGGTCCACCAAGAACTCCACAATATCTGTGTAGTCTTTGATGGTGTAAACCCCAAGTCTCTGTGCAACATTCGAGAAGTGGTCGAAAAGGTTTTCGTCTATTCCGTCGTACATCAAGTGAGCAGGCATCGTGATTTTCTTCCTCATCATATTGGCAAATGCTCGGACGGTTTCATCGGGATCGATCTCAAACAGCTTTTCGATGATCTTAGTGTAGGCCGTCTCGTGTCGCTTTTCGTCTGCGGCGATGAAACTACATAGTTTAGCCAACTTGATGTCTCCGTTCTCTGTAGCGAGTTTGGCCGTGTTCTTGTGGGAAATGAAAGTTGCCCTTTCTTGGAATGATGTGTAGATGAACGTATGATATGGATTGTTCTCTAACTTCAAATCCTATTAAAAAAACGACGACAAAAAGATTAATTTTGATTGGTAGATGATAAAGAAAAGAAGGTTTGGTATTCAACCCCTAGACCCTGAATCACCAAATCCTTTAAACCCTTTAAACCTTAAACATTAAACCCTAAATTATACTATGAGACATAGTTTTTTTCTCGGCAAAAGATTTTATTAATTATTAAATATGCCTAAACCCGAGTTGAGTGCCTCATTAAAAACTTTCTTAAGCCTAAATGAAGTAAATTAGTACACCCAACCAGGGCAAAACTAAATACATTGAAAAACAACACAACACAACACAAACGGACAAAACTAAATCATACTTTCCTCTCCTGAGGCAATTAAATACTAAACCCTAAACCTTAAATTTTAGACTCTAAACACAAACCTTAAATCATAAACTCTAAACCTTAAACCATTCTTACACTTGAACCATATTCCAAATCCTACAAGAATAAAAAACATCAAAAGAACTGCTTTTGATTTGTAATGATAAAAAACATGAAAGTAATATTAAACCCTAACCTCTAAACCCTAAATTCTAAACTTTAAACTTACTTACCGCTCCTGAAGCAATTAAATATTGAATTGTCTTCTCGATTTGTCTCATGTCGACTCGACCAGACAAGTAAAGATACTTGTTAAGTAGATCGCCATGTCTGTTTTCTTCAGCTGTCCATTTCCTTGTCCAAATCGCCCATGAAGAAAGACTTGCACCTGTTTCATCACCAACTCCATCTGCCATATTAAGGAACGATTGATAAGTGGGAAGAGCTTCTTCCGTGATCATATCGCCAACCAAAACAGCAAAGTAATCATCTGGAATCTCTCTTGCGCTTTCCCTCAACTCTTGGACCTGCTCATAAAATCCATCCGATGTGGGATCTGGAAGAAAATCTTGGGGTTCCCAACTCTTCTCAACTGGTTTCAGGTGAACGTGGATGTTCTTCTCCACCCAATTGTCCAACGATTTGAAGATCTGGATCTTTTGTGGGGGCATCGAATGTGTGACTTCAACTTGTTTTCCCCGACGAGCCATGCATCTAACTCTCGAATTCTCAACTTTCCTGGATTCAAATAACCTTCATTTAGAATTATGGGTAAATTCCATATTTAGTACAAAAACTATCATTTCTGATCCATTTTAGTACCTAAACTTTTAATTTATTCAAAACCATGCCTAAAGTTTAGATTTTATTTCATTTTAGTACCCGCCATTAAAAAAATTAGTTTTTGTTTCATTTTCGTATCTATTCAAAATTTAATATTAAGTTTTGAAAAATATGAAAGTTTAGGTACTAAAACAGACCAAAAATGATAGTTTATGTACTAAACGCATTAAGTTTTTAAGTACTAAAATGAAATGAAAAATAAACGTTAGGTATGGTTTTAAAAAAATAGAAAATTTAGGTACTAAAATTGACCAAAACTAATAGTTTAGGTATTAAAATTGACCAAAACTAATAGTTTAGGTACTAAATGTGTAATTTATCCTAGAATTATTTAACGTAAATGATTAAATTGTGAATAAACCCATGGAGTAAGTTTTAAAAAGACGAAAACATATTTAGTTAGTGGTCAAACTGATCATATTTGTTTCCTAATATTTCTTTAGGTTATGGGTTCTAGATTCATTAAGAGCACTCTCATTTCCCCCATAGAGTTCTCTTCCCCCTCTAAGTAGTTTAGAATTAGATATAGAGTTTGTAAAAAAAAAACCAAAAGTATAATTATAATAGGATAAACTACACGTTTTGTACCCAACTATCATTTTTATTACGTTTTGATCAATCAACTATTTTTTCAAAATCACATCTAATGTTACGTTTTCATTTCATTTTAGTCACACAAGTTAAAAAATTAACGGTGATGTTGATGCGTCACCATAAATACCACATTTTCATTGATGTTTTTAAAGTATTACGTTAGCATCACCATTATTTTTTTAACAACGAGTCACTAAAATGAAATCAAAACGTAACATTAGGCATGATTTTGAAACAAAGAATAGTTGAGTGATCGAAACAGAACAAAAGGGATAATTGAGGTACTAAACATGTAATTTATCCAAATATATATTTTTATTAAATATTTACATAACATAATACCACAATTTTCTATAACATGAATATTCTTTTATCTCTCAATGCTAAATAGATATAACAATTTTTTTATATTAAAATCTATATATTTATGGGAATAAAAGATTATTACTAATTGAAAAATTATAATAAGTGGGTAAGAATGCTATTGTTTATTATAAAACATATGAAAAAATAATTATCCATCATAATTCTTAACAATGATCATAAGTGACTTAGAGAATTGTGTATGAATTTATTGATTATGAATTCAAATCTTAATGGACGGGTTTAAGTTATTTATTTAAATATTATTTAGAATATGAAAAAAAAACACTCTTACAAGTTACAACAATATTAATTTGTAATTAAAAAAAATAAGATAATTTTATTAATGTTTAAACTCTTAAAAGTAATTATATCATTTACTTTTAATAACTGTGAATTTAAAAATATAAGATATAAATAAATATTGAATATAAAGATGATTGAATCTCACAATTAAAAATAACATTTAAAATCGACCAAATATTTGGTATATTGACAACAATATTAAAAGCACTTAATAAATTTTCAATTTAAACCATCCAATTAGCCATAAAAAAACACATTTATATACCTTTCCTTATGTGGCAACTAATTTTCTAGGTAAGGAATTTAATTGAATTAATGGTATTAAAGATAGGTCAGGTCGTTCGTTACATAGTAAAGTCAAAACGTATATGTGGGAAGGTGCACCCTATTATTCATTAGACTCAACTACACTCCAAACCATTAAACGAACTCAATAAAAGAAAAATGTTGTTGTTAGGGTAAATTACAAATTTCGTCACTAAACTTTACTCTCTTTCTTATTTTGCTCACAGAACTTTAAAAGTTTTCAATTTTCTCATTGAACTTAATACATTGAATCTTTTGGTCACTCCGTCGTTAAATAGTTAACGACATTGTTTAAAAAAATAAATTTTTTACGAAAACGACGTCGTTTTGCATCTATATAAAGACTATTTGTAAAACCATTAGTGATAAAACAATTGACCAAAAAAACCCCAATGTATTAAGTTCAATGAGTAAATTGAAAAAATTTAAAGTATAATAAATGAAATAGGAGAAAGAGTAAAGTTTAGTTACCAACTTTATGATTTACCATTATTTTAAAAGTATTAAGTTCAAGCAACTATATATGTAATATGTATACGTTGAAAATGATTAATAAATATTCTAAACATATAATATCTTAAAATTATCACATATTATTAAAAAAGTTTAACTATATTGAACCTTACTTAAAATTTTTTTAACCATCGATATTTAATTTATTGGTTAATTATTTCGGATCAGAACCTACTTAATTTCAATTTAATTTTATACCATAAAAATAATTTATAAGTCAAGCATGCTTTTTAGAATTTCATATTAAACTATTATAATTTTTATCATAAATAAATGTACGCAATTTTTTATTTTCTTATAAAATATTTATTTTAATAAAAAATAATATTATAAATTATAAATTATTAATCATTTTATGATTCCTTCCATATTAGTTACCTTTTAATATTTTTATTAAGTATTTTTATTCAGCCACATAGTGTGATGTGCCAAATTATTAACATTTTCGCTGACCATCTATATAGGATATAGCCTATAGGTATTCAAATAGGTATCTATAAATATTAAGAAATACCAATATATTCATGAATATTTTCTCTTATAAAGCGGATAAAAAATCAAGTGGATTGACGTTGAATTTCATTATGTTATTGCATATCACTAAATTTATTTTTAAACATTTTCTATATATTTACAAATACATTATTATTAGCACGAACCGAGTGACCTCAGTTGTAAAAAATATTATTGTTATTCTTTGAAATCTCGGTGCTTCTCAAGTTCGAGTACATGGAATATCAAGAGTGTGAGCGTTTAATGTCAAATGATTAAGATTATCTTTAAACAAATATTATCTTGTACTTACTCTAAATTAATAAAAAACATACATTATTATTTTAATAAATGGCCTAAACCTAAATCGATTAATAAGAGAGCATCCTGAACTTTAGCTCAAGACCCCATTTTTCACCTTAATTATTAGGGGCTTTCTTAATCAGAAAAACTATTAATGGCTTTTAATTTTTTATTTTTAATAACTTAACATTCTCAATTTCTCCTTATTTTTTGACTCTCTTTAATTAGATTTAATTTTAAATTAAATCTAATTATAATATTTTTTTCCCTTAATCTTACTATTTGAGTTATGAAATATTTTTAAACTTTTAGTCTTCTTCAATCTTAATCTAACAGTAAAATAATACATCATTCTTCATTTTTTCTATTTAGTGTTCAGAATCAAATTTCATGTCATATTCACTTTCCTTTATTTATTTTATTTATGTTCTTTTAATTGTTTTTAAAATGCTTTCTTAACAAAACAATGAAAACAATTTGTTTGAAAAAAATGTACTCATTTTTCTATAATTTATTAATAAAATATTAAATTAATTGTCTAAAGTAACGGAACATAGTTTTATAGGGGTTTATTTTTTAGTTTTTGTTCAAGACCTCGAAAAACATTTGAGATGATTTTGGCCTCAATAGTAAAAGAAAAATATTATTTTCCATAAAAGATTTGACTTCGACTAACTGCATATGCAAGGTGTATACGTTGTTAATAGACTAAAAAATTATTGAACAAATAAAATCTTTTAATCACTTCATAATCCAGATTATTCAAAAATTATTATTATAGACTATGCCTGCATGAAAGAAGTTTAGTGAAGAAAATATATTCAACAATACTTTGAAGTTAGAAGAATGATAAATAAATAATTAGAAAAGGGCTAACTTGGAAGCCATGCAAAACTTGGGGGATCGGAAACTCGCCATTGCTGGAAGAGCCGGAAGTGTTAGGGACTGAAAACTCAAACTGTCGAATTTCAATGCCATTTTTCTTTTGCTTTTCTCCTAGTTTCAGTGTCTTTCTGTTTTCATTTTTTCCGAATGGATGAACAATATATACTCCTACTTTTATCGCATTGCCCCTAACTGTTGTTTAAATTACTTATGGACCCTAAACTAATAAAAATATAAAAAAATATTGAATATCAATTCAAAAAAATGTTTCGAATTTGAATTAAGTTGGGTCAAATTTTATAAAAGAGTAAGGTCGGGTCGAGCCGGGTTCGGGTGAAGGGTTAAAATATTCGAACATGACCCGACCTGGGATAATAGTGTAATTTCTTCAGCTAAATTTATGAATAATTGTTATAATACTCATTTCTATTGTTTATTTAATTTAATCCTTATTCTATATCATGTTAGACGAGATTTATATTCTAAAAATTTGAATCATGTTAAAGTCAAATAGATGATATATCTTTTCAAGTCAAGTCAGATTAAGATACAGAATAAATACTTTTTGAATTGAATCAAACTGATCAAAAATTTTATCCGATCGAACAAGTTGCGAATTCAAGGAAGCATAAATAATCGGCAATCAACCAATGTCATGAGTTATTGTTCGAGCATTTCACAGCTACTCTACGAGGTTGATTGAATGCTTGGTTTAATCATATAAGGGAATATGCATTTTTTTAATAAATAAAAAAATGTTTATAAATATTTGTATCATATTCGTATTATTATTTGTAAGTGTACGAATCTATTTACCTCAGCTGTAAAAGAAATCGTTGTATCAACGGGGTTGATTCAAGCGGTAAACATCTTGATATCACTTAAGCTAGGTATCGGGTTCGATTCATTGTGTATGCAAAAAATCTCTACTAGGAGACTCACCAACCAAAACCAGGTGTGTCCTGGGTCGGTCTAGATTAGCCAAAAAAAATTGTTGTTGTTCTTAGAGGTCATGAATTTAAGCACCAACGATTGCTACAAAGTAATTGAGAGTATTTAAAATAGATATTATTATGTAATCCACCTTAACTTGATAAAAAAATTATTATTCTATATGTATTGAACTTTTATTGTGCATAGTGTGATACAATAATTCGATTTTAATTAACTCTAACTTCATTTACTTAAAATATTGAAATATTTGAAAACATGGAAATGAGTTTCCAAATCAATTTAGAAAAATTATTTTTATTATTTTTTTAAGTTTAATCACAAATATTTAATCTGTTAATCGATTATTTCGAAAAATTATCTTATCATGTCTTTAGGAGTTTTAAAACTAGAGATGAATAGAAGACACGAAAAAAAACTGTCGTCTCCTGAAAATTTTATATTCTTTTATATTTTAAATTTTTCTATATTTTTTTATTGATAATTTATTTTATCTTTTAAAATTTATAATTTTATTCTCTTCTAAAATATTATAAATTTCTCTCTTAACATAAAATTTGTCCTTACATAGTTATGTTTCTTATTTAAATTGTTGTATTTATGTATCCGAATGTCGGTAGGGCATTGATGTGGAGTATTAGGCGTAGGTGGTAGGTCTTTTTTTATAGTTTTGTGAAGTTCCATGTGTAATTTTGTGTTTAGGGTTTGGGTCCATTTGCATAGGACTACATAAATCATTGTGAAGTGGTTATTTTCATTATAAATAAATTTATTTTACGAAAAAAGAGGTATGTCATCGATCAACCATCTATAGAACAAATGATTAAAAATTCTCAATTAATATTTAAAATTTAAGTTTCATTAGTCAAGTGGAGTCGAAGATATATGTCAGAAAAAATGTATTTTCGTAGAGAGTAATTGACTTAAAATCAGTGACAGATTTAAAAATTTAAGAATAATTCTAAAATTTTAATTTTATATTTTTTAAAATAATGGATATACAATTTTTTTTGTTTCTTTTTTCTTAACACATTAAATTAAATTTAATCATTTTTCAAAATCATGGGATGCACTTGGCCCGTATGGGGCTTATTGCATCCGCCCTTGCTTAAAATGGATCTTATACGAACCAAACGATCTCAGTGATTAATGAGATAATTGTTGTCCGGTCCTGAGCTCGAAGACATCGTCTACATAAGTGTTTAAACATTCATCATCGAACGATATTAATCCCTGGTTTAGAAGATAGATTCATATGGACTCACAATCATGCTAGTCAATTCTTGGTCAAGAAATTGGCACTATTACTTGTAAACGGTGAGAGGCTTAATACATTTTTAGGTGTCTAAATTATATTTTAAATTGAATTTTTGTGTCTAAAGAATTTTTCGTTAAAAATATATGTTTAATGTTTTATCTGTTACACTTTTAGGTACATATTGTTAAAAAAATGGTTAAGTGACACGTATATTAATCCATGCAGATATTATTATCATTATCATTTATCTTACAATCAGTAAATTTTGCAACTCACCATGACACCATGCACACAAGATAAACACCAAAATGAAGTAATCAAAGGTTAAAAAAAAGATCAAACAAATCGGTTAAATGGCCTTCTTCCAACCGCTGCAGGCATTGAAACGGTTGAATCCACACTCAAATTGCCTATGGATTGAAGTGATCGGTTCTTATCTAAACCCCTTTGAGTGCTTGAATCCATGCCTGGAAACAAAGACCCTTTGCTACATTTGAATGATCCCATCCCTTGTGTCAAAGGGAACGAAAGCCTCCTCTTCGACGTCTCACTTTCTGGCGTCCCCGTAAAGATATCCTTCGAGTTGCTGTTGCCTCTTGCTTTGGCTTTGGCCGAAACTGTTGGTGTCATGTAATTCGGAACCGAGAATGGCGGGCAGTTAGTGAGACTGTCATCATCCTTCAAGAGCAAGTCAAACGATGAATCCCCTCCGTTAGCTCTCGGTCTTGAATATTTCGACAATGCTGAACTTCTTCCTTCCAGGATTCCACTAGGTGGAGTTTGCATAGGTCGTGTAATTGGAAGCGTGGTTAATCTCTTAGATTGCGGTGTCGGAGTGTCCATATCGTCGAGTATAAACTGATGTTTCTTGTTGCCCAATGGCAGTTTTGGACTAGGCTTCAATTCAGAATTTGGCCTTGTTGGTGTAAGTCGGAAATCCTTCATGCCATGGCCTTCTGCAGGAGCATTGCTAGAAGCCAGCTGACGTTCTAACCAGTTCCACCACCATGGTCCGCGAGTTCGAATGTTTGATGCACCCGCGTGACCCGAATTCGGAGTAGCTTTCCATAGCTGTATGCAAAAAAAAAGGTTTTAAATCAATGGTAGTTGGACTTATACAAGTCAAACTAAAGGGAATTGGTGTGCTAAATGTACCTACCTGATGGGAATATGCATAGGGAATGGCTCTTTCTCTCTTGACGACGGCCTCTACCTTTCTCTGCATTCTTGCCTCGATTTCTTCCTTCGTTAGCAAGCTATCATCCCAGTCTTCGTTGCCTGCAACAAACTGATCCGATGTTCGACCAAGTTACTCATTCTAAACAAGCAGAAACATATGATCTCTAATTTACGTCAAGTTCCCCAAAGGTATCCCCTGGATGAAAACTTACCGCCTGAATGAAGGTTGATTTACCCAAGGTACTTCCCACTTCTTTATCGTTCTTAAACCGAGCCTGTTGTCGTGCTTGGTTTTCTAACATCTGGATCCGGCTAGACTGAATCCGAGACTGAACTCGAACCAGAAGCTGCATATGCTTCATCGCAGTAGTAGTTTGGCGTTTCACATTCTGACCTCTCACAACTCCTTGAAGCCTCACAAGGCCTTTCCAAGCTCGAAAACTTCTCCTTGCCTGTATGATTAGCTTCAACATTATCAATCTGGCAAACGAACATTGATGCAAAACATATCAATGCAAAGGGCTCTACAGTGTATAATCCTACGACACGAAATCGCCAACTAAGAGCAATGTGATTAACTTATTGCCCAAGGAAGCTTTTAAGGGGAATTATGTTCATTTACAGCATATGAATATTTGCCTCCATGAAATTTGCACTTTGAAATCTTCTGTTAATAAGAAAAGTAAAAACATTTTACCATGTAACCTCTATAGGCCGCTTGAACTTTTGTAGCTGAAGCATGATTGTTCCTTGAAGTTGGTTCCAGTCGAGGACGGATAACTGTTGGCGGAGCAGCTTTCGGAGAGGCGGTTCGTGGTGGAGAAGGAGCTTGTGAAGGGGAAGCGATTCGCGGCAGAGAAGCAGACCTCGGGGAAGCAATCCTATGAGAAGAACTACTTGGAGCAGCAGCTCGATGAGGAACGAAAGGCAGTGTCGCCGGCTGCTCCGGGAGTGCCGGAGGCCTGAATACTATTCTCTGCTCTCTTTCAGCCTCACCAAGAATTTTCTCAACACTGCTGGGCTCTCTGAAGAGGCGAATAAAGGAATTGGTGTCCCCATATCTTAATTTTCCTAGGTCTTTCTTCTTCTTTTCTTTACCACTCGTTTTATCCGATCCCTGCAAGGATTTAACCATACAAAAATGATGCAATTAAACAATAAACATCATCTACAATCATACTACATCCATAGTCATAGTAAATCAAAACCACAGATGATATAGTAAAGATATGAACTTACATTGCTTAGCTTTTCCTTGGAGTGTGGTATGAGAACCCTTTTAATTGCAGAAAACCAACTTCCTTTCTTCCCCATACTCCCAGCATTACTGGTTTGGTCTAACCATGAGAATAAACCCAATGACAAAAAAAACCGGTAGGTCAACCTTTTTTTTATTGTCTTGATCCAAAAGCAGGATTATACGATTCGACCTGCTGGTTTTTTTTGAAAAAAAACCGAGAATCGTATAAAGGCCTGTATTACTTGGGAAATTTTCAGGCTATTCATGATCCAAAAATTCTTAATGAAGAACAAATGTTAAGACATGTATACTTTTGTAAATCACAATTATAAGTAGATTAGCATGAAGATTAACAGGAAGAAGGCCAGTGAGAAAATGCCCAACACTAATAATCAAGTAGGTCATAGGCCTGAAGCTAAGGTCGCCCACCCCCATGAATGAATCAAACAAAAACAACTTTGAACCAACAGATGGCACTAAGAGCAAACAGGGGAATCTCGATCATGTTATCTACTCCTTCCCCCGAGAACATAATTCACACAAAGCCAAAAGAAACAGATCACATTGATCATGAACAGCATAACTGACAAAACCCCAGAAATTTATACAAACAAAAATGCTTTGAAAAGATCATATATGTATGTACCTTTATTGAAGAAGAGCTCCAAATTCCAAATCCTGCAAAAAAAACCCTTCAAAAAGCTGAGCTATAAGAAGCTAGAAAAATAGAAAGATCCTCTCTTTTTTCGTCTCTCTAGCCTTCATGTAGACCCTGGACAACATAGTTGTTCCTGTTAACCTTTCTTATTCCTAGCCTTTTTATCTAAAACATTTAGTGGGGATCTATTTTTTTTTCTTTCTACTTACTACTGTAATATTTCTCAACTTTTTAAACAAGAATTCTTCGTCTTTTAAAAGAGGAATTTATAAAAGAGTAAGAGACACGCAAATTAGCTGACAAATAGCTAAAAAACTTAAAATCTATGATAATTTTAAATTTTTTGGATTACTATGTCTGGCTCTCGATCCATCGCTCGATATAGGGTTTGGTCATTTTTACACTCCATGTGCCAAACTTTCAACCACCTTTACTTGAATGGGAATACTATATTTGCATTTGGACAGCAACCATGGCCACTCACTGATTTAAACGGTTAGGTTTGGTACTCTTTCATTTTATCTTAACTATTAATATTGAAATTATAAAATAATTTATTACCAATGTGTGTCCTTTTGCCTGATATTCAACTTTCAAGGCTAGGTGAAACGAAAAAAACCTTTCAAGGCCAGGGCAACCATGGGTACGTAGGCTTGCCTGGGTTTCAAAGCCTTGGAAAATGGACCATAGCTTGGCTTCGAACTTTGGACATGATATAGTTAGGTATAATCTGATTCTCTTAACAAAGAAGTGTCATCTCTACCTAGGGTTGGGCACGGGGTGGGTCCCTTTTTCAGCTGTTCGACTCGAAAATATAAATTTTATATCTAATTCTATCCCGTTTAGATGAAATTTAGATCTTTTTTTCATCCGAATTCACCCTAAATTTTAAATTAAAACTCTAATTCAACCCGATTATAATATATTAATATTTTAAAATAATTAAAATAATATATTTTATAATAATATATTTATAATTACTTATTACATTTTAAACAATTAAAATAATATATTTTATAATAATTTTATATTTTTAATAACTAAATAATATATTTTAATAATATAAAATAAAAATTCCTAGAATATTAAATATTTATATATATAAATTAACCAGGACGGGTCGGTGATTTTCTCACCTTGAACTCGACCCCAGTCTGGCTCGACCCGAGCCCAAAAATTTTTAAAAAAAAACCCTATAGGATCGAATCAGATCAAGAACCATTGAATTTAGGTATTTTGACCATCTCTATCTATGCCTTTTAAATATCCTATAATTATTGGATAACACTAAGTTTTGAGAATAATATGGGTTGAATTTTTTTTTTTTTGAAGAATGGACTGTTTGATAATTATTTTAAGATTTAGGTAATTTGTTACAGTAGATACAGAACTCGTCACATAGAGGTAGAGAAAGTCATTTATTATAGTGCAAAACTCGTCTCATAGAGGTGAAGAGAAATCTATTTCCATGACTTTTGCATCAACTGTAATAATAGATATCGATAATTACAAAGTGAAAGAAAAACAAAACATCAAGATTTACGTAAAAATTCTTAACGATAAAAATTACAAGTAAAAAAAAATACTATGTCAAGAAAATACAAAAAAATGCGAGAGGATCGTGATTATGCACTATTTGAGGGTTAATCAAATTATATAATATCTATCTATTGAGATAAATACTTAATAAGAAATAAACTTATATAGGTGAAAGTTTACTTAAATCGAGTTTCCTACTCTTAATCAATATCTAATTATAGAAATATAATTTTGTATGGATTCAATTAATTCGTACCATTAGGTTCCGTCCCCACAACGTCAAAAATCAAGTGAGTTATGCCTCGAGCTTTCGGACTGGATCAAATGAAATCATTTCACACAATTTTAACAATCTTCAGCTTGACACGAATATTTAACGAATAAGTTCTTCACCTTTTTCATTAAACCCCTTAAACGAGTATTCTTCAAAATCGAGTTCCGGTTACAGTACCTAGTAAGTGTCTATGATTGACTTGTTAGCAATAAAGAGCCTATTAAGCTTGGTGAACCATCAGAAATGAAGTCACCGGCTACTACCAGGCTCGCCTGCAGGTTTCTTGCTCCAACCAACGGGACTGGCTTTACGTTCGCCACGTTTTCTTTTGCACCTAGGGACGTAGATGTCCGACGCTAGACATGGTCTCGGAATCGATTGCTCCCGAGACACTACGTTTTCAGTTGCGTTATTAGGTTCTGATGTTGGAACACGAGAAGGACCGGTGCTCTCTCCTACTTTTTCGACTTGACGATGTTGCTTTACGGACCGACTGTTTGTCGCTGTTGAAGCTTGTTTATCTCCGGCGTTTCCTTCGTTCCGTGTCGGAACATTTTCCACAATCTGCAAATATCATCGGTATCATAATGAGAAGGTTCTCATGTGCCATAACTATATCAAGAATGAGAAGCAAACAAAACAGGTCAGATTCAAACAACTATATGGCATTGTCATATCTGGTGAAAAAAATGAGCCAAAAATATACATGCAAGTTCTGTATGTTAAGAGGCCTTACATCTTCGCACGAATAGACGAGTCGTGGCTGGTGGCAGGTAACTTCAGCAGACGACAACGATCCAACAGTGCTTTCGATAATATCAGGAACATGGAAAGCCTCTCCATAACTTGAAACGGCACTTGCAGGCATGACCATATCTCCACCATATTCAGAAATTTGTCGAGTCGTGTTAAATGCAGGTCCGGTGGATATCGTGTCTCTGTTGCCAGCTGAAACTGTAGGGCTAGGGACAGAGCTGGTTTGAGCATCACAAACAGCAAGGAGGCTCAAATTCTCAGAGGAAGAAAACTTGGAAACATTTTTGGACATCACATGATCAAGCTGATTCCTGAGTTTTTGAATCTTAGCTTGCATGATTTCAATCTTCCTAAGGACTTGGTCCAAGGAATTATTTTCAACTCTGAACTCGAAAAGTAATCGATCGTTATTAATGCCGGATTTATCGTTGCATTCGGCATGTTGGTCCGTATCAGCTGCACCAAGTAATGACAAAGATCACTTCACAATCAAAACTAAGATAACTAGAAATCGAAAAAAAAAAACATAGCCTTCGAAATGCTGATTCTACCTTAGGAACTACTTCCATTTGACAGTTAACATATGATCATGTTTTTCAGTATGTCAGCCTGATTTTAACATAATGGAGCCAGCCACGGTGACATATTCGATTTCCTAGGATCCATAGGTCTAGTTTCTTGCAAAATGAATGGTTAAAAATGAAGTTAAAATACAGGAAATTGATTCAGTAAAATGGAAAATGGCATTACCTATGTTGGGAAAATCATCAGCAATATAAGCACCATCCGGAATGGTTTTCCTGTTTTCTGAAACATATTACGAGCGAATCGCATTGGGGTTAAGGCGAGACGAGAAAAACACTTAAACAACAATGATAAAGAATAAAGGAAAAGCTAGTACCGAAGTAGGAAAATAAGTTATGGCTTGACATGTATGACGCTACATCGGTCGTTTCTTCGATTCTCTTTCGTCTCCTCCGTTTAACAGCCTTTTTACGGCTATACTGACTAGAGAATGGCAATGACTTTGAAACAATACCTTCAATTTCAGATGGATCAATTCTGGAAAACTTTCTCTGATTGTATGCTGAAAGTTCTCTGGTGTATTTTCCTGCTTGTGACTCGATCTGTTTGATCCTCAGTTCCGCCCATTTGCAGCGCCACATGAGAGGCCGAATGAAGTTCCTCCAGTGATTTGTCCGCCTCTTCTTCCTGAACGGCAAGTATGGAACGACGTTTATATACGATTACAGCATGTCTGCATGCTATGCAATGTCAAAATTGCTGTGAATCACAAAATGTTTCAATGAAGATTCGGATGGAACAAATCAAAAACCGAAGAATTTACCATAGAAAGCCTCTAATGTTTTAAACAGCCATTCCTCCCTTCATAAAAAAGAAGGTAACTTCTCAAATTGTAGCCAAATATTGACTCTATACACATCCATACGTACACACACATAAACATGCATGCATATTCGAATTACTTAAATGCTCAAATATATATGGAAAGAAAGCAAACCTCATATGAAACACGCTACTAAACGGTCCGTAAGCAGATGTGAAAGCAGCATCGCCGATGAAACGGGATTCCACTTCAGCATCACTCAACTCAGAACATTTATCGGTATAGGACGTGGTGTCGGCAAATGAGCTGGAACATTCAGTTGCATCCGGATCCTGAATTTCGATTTTCGCGGTGTGATTATCATTTGTGCATCCGAGTATATCGACCTCGATATCCTCCAGAGTGTTATTTTGTGTATGCATCTCAACCTCCATGTTATCGATGCTCTCTTCGCACTTAATCATTCACCTTGAACTCTTCCCAACCAAGCCATCCAAGGAACTCATCTTCTCCTTGTGAACTGCAGCTTTTGCAGCACAATGTAGTTTATTACCTGGATTAACATCCATCGGTATTTGTTCAGAAGCCATACAACAGTCATAGTTCATCTTCATGCTCATTAAAAACCAGCTTATGTTAAATTTCGAAAATTCGAGTCTCCTGAAAATCAAACATGTTACTCTATTTGAAGCTTAGAAATCCAACTATCCTCCAAAATTCATTTCTGTCCTTGAATTTTGAATGTGAAGGAAAAACTTGTTTAAGAAATATTCCAAATTTCAGTAACAGATGACTAAGCTCTTCAATTTTCCAGATTCCATACATTGTGATGCTTGTAAGTCCAATCGAATTTCGAATTAAAAACAAGACAAAAATGGATAACTAGGTACAAATTTAAGCACAGTAAATACTTCACCAAAAAAAGAATAACAAAATGGAAGCAACTTATTTTGCATAAAAAGCTAACAATTTGGAAATTCCAAAGAAGTTCTCCACCTTCCTTAAATTTGTAATTCGGGTATATAATCATGTAAGAAAACTCATGTCAACATGCATGCATGGGTCATGGCATTCATATCCATATTCACATACATGGGAAGTAAGAACTATGATCATGGAAGTAGAAACGGCTAAAAACAACATGTTCCAAGCTAGATTCAAACAACTCATTAAGCTGAAACAAGAAACTAAACAAACCAAGTACAAAGAAACTAAACAACTCATGATTCCAACCCGTACAAAGGAGTGCATAAAGAATGAATCTTTGAAGATATGGAAAGAGAGTGGTGTACCAGAGAGGCAGAGAGAGTGAAGAAGAAAAAGAAAGGCGGCGAGGAAGATAAATGAGAAAGTTAACGTTGTAGTAATAAAACCTAAAGAGGAACCACTTTAGTTTTGTCTTATTAATGTTGCTCTTGTAAATTACATTAGGGTAAATTAAGCATTTAGCATATAAGCTATCACTTTTGATCCGTTTTAATATATAAACTTTCAGTTTTTTCAAAATCATATCTAATGTTTAGTACATAAACTATCAGTTTTAGTCTGTTTTAGTATTTAAATTTAAATTTTTTTAAAATAATACCTAATATTTAGTTTTTGTTTCAGTTTAGTACATCTCCGTAAAAAACTTAATGATACTACATTTTTATGGATAAATTACATCATTCATCACTCCTATTTTGGTACTAAAGTTTAAAATTTTAATAATTTAATTTTTGTGACATGGCATTTCTTTATTATTATTTTATTAATATAATTAAAAATAAATTCTTACAAGAACTAAATATTAAGTATGATTTTTAAAAATTAAAACTTTAAGTACTAAAATGGACTAAAATTAGTAATATAAGTACTAAATACATAATTTACCTATTACATTATTTTGTTGGCAAAGTTACATTACATATTTACATCATAGGGTTAAATATGCAAATGTCTTCCTATTGTAAGGCATTTTTGTCGGGTTCTCTTATCATAAAAATTTATAAAATGATGTATTAATTAAGTTGTAATACCCCAAATAATTTACGAAAAATAGACAAAATTGTCTAATTTCTGGTTGAAAAATGAATTTGTTTTCTACAACAAACTATTAATTTATAATTATATGTTTTAAGGAAATAGATTTAAAGTTAAAAATATGAGTATTTTAAAACGAACCAAATAAGTATTTATGCTTAGTGAACTTATGTCAATTTTATGTAACATCTATGACTTGTATTTCGAGACGTATACGAGTTATGGGTGTTACACAAGCGACATTAGTTATTGAATAATTTGTTTTTTTCTTTTGATGTCTCAGATATGGGCACGACATATGTCAGAGATATGAGCTTTAATTAACAAATGATTAAGAGTATTTGAACATATACTATATTATATTTATCTCATATTTATTAAAAAATTATTCAATTTTTAAAATTATTTTAAGGACATAATAGTTAATAAATTTAGTATAATAACAGATGTAACTCTCAATTTTCACACTTTATTTTTATTTTATTTTATTTTTAAAAATAACATATAATATTTTAATATTTTACCAATTTAATTTCTATATTAATTTTATTAACTCAATAATAAAATATTTAACTATATAAACAAATAATATGGCTTAATTTTTAAAATTTATGGGAGAAAATTATTTTGAATATATATAATCCTTTCATATTCTTTACAACTTTTGAGATTTGTGTTGTAAAAATAAAATATGTATAATATTATAAGAGCGTTATGAGATGCATGAAGATATCATTTATTTGTACTCTAAGTTTATAGTAAATTTATATTTCTTTCATCCGTGAAAATAAACAGAGTTAAACTATCTTACATTAATATCATTAGATTATTATTTTATTTATAATTTTTTAAATATTTAAAAATAATAATAAATTTGTAAAATTCAATAAACCCAAACTAAGGTATATATATATATATTGTCATTTGATAATAAAATTGATTGAGTGTAAATTAATAGAATTTAAATAATTAATATTATATTTTTATTTATTTATTTTTAACAATATTTATATTCAACTCATGTTCATTTAAATTTTTAATATCATATTGTGTTTGTTTGTTTATTTCTAAAGGTTTTCGGATTTAGTTTGAAAATTAACAAAGATGTTCAACTTGTTCATTTATTATTTGCCAAACATGGTTTGTGGAACAAAGAAAAATGGTAAAATTACATTAATAGTCCTTACACCCCAAAGTTATTCATATGTTCAATTTAGACCTTACTTTCACAAATATTTAAAATCTAAAAAAAGTAAAAGAAAAAGGAGAACCAAGTAAACACACTTACAAATGAGTCGATAATTGAACTTATAAATGAACTTGTTCGTGAACATAAACGAATCAAATATACTTTTGTTTGTGTCCGTTCGTTTATTAAATAAACATAAAAAATTCAATCATACTCGCTTATATAACTTAATAAACAGACATAAACGAACGTTATACGAATACTCTGTTCATTTAAAACCCTACACAACATTGTAATTATTCGACTCATCTTCATCAATTTACATTTTACATAACATGATCAAGAGAGAGCTATTGATTCTTATAATCAAATAAGACTAAATGCAGCTTAATCCTACCCATCAAAGCCTAATAGTTTTTGCCTATGAACATCCTATCTTATAGTGCTTCATTTAAATTTTTGCATCAGATTAGGAAATTTTGTGCATTCGATATCAAGTCGGTTACCTGTTAAACCCGATTCGAGTTAAGTTCAAAGACTACTGCAGGTTGCAGCTGAAGAAAACTATGTTCAATTGAATGGTGTTATACCCTTGGCAAATTTCGGTGATGAAGTCTTGATGGGAGCCCAAATATCGGCACCGTTGTTGCTACGAGCAACTCCGACGGTGTACAAGATTGGGACGAGGCATAAACCTTGGCTCCTCAGGCTATAGTGCTCTATGTCCTGGAAGAAAAAACGGTTTAAAATCCAGTAACTTTCGACCTATGGTTCCCTAACTAATGTTTTTTTGTATCAACATCCGACATTGAACCAAATAGGTTCCGTAAATAGGGATGACAAGTGCTTGAGCATGAGAAGTAATCAGGGCTTTATGTTACATATCGTAATTTCTGTGTACCCGGTTCGGTTTAATGCTAGCCTGCACGTTATTTGTCGGTGTGGTTCGAAGATACGGAGCACTCAAAACCCATGATCATAGCCATTAAAAGGCAATATTTTCATCGAATTTCTGATTGCTGATCCTTAGAAATTGCAACTAATACCGACTGATAGGCATGTTACAATCATTTAAGTAAATCGACTAGAAAAACCATACCTTAACTTGTTCATGAAGAAACCGTATGTATTGCACTGCTTCCAAGAGAACAGAAGTTGTATCCGTCTGCAATGAAACCAAATAGAGCTTTAAGATCATAGCAAGATCGGAAACTTTATGCCGAAAGATGATTTCAGTCGAGCCACAGTAAACACTAAAATAAGACCAATGTAGCGTCGGGATTCGATTTCTTATTGGATAAGAAGATGCTAGGCTTGATGCAACCTACTGAAGTCAAATATTAATGTCGATAATGACACCATAATCGTATTGCCACTCTGATGTCAACAATTGATTGCCAAAGTACCTTTTCATAAGGCGAAACAAGCTGCTGCAGAGTGACAACGCGTTCACTGACCTTATCTTTCTTATCCTATGGTGAAATAGGAGTAAATTAGGATTATATTAGCTAGAAACAAACCGGTTCCACAGTACTTAGTTTTAGTATGCAGAGAGAAGAAACCGAATCGGCATAGCCGGGAAATTGATAACATAAAAAGTTACATGTAGCTAATCCCAGCTAATGGAGATTGAGCTATAGTCGAACTGAACTGAGCCGACTATCCCATCGTTCTTCAAGTACTGGTATGAGAGATTCCCTTAGTATATACATAAAATGGAGTAAATAAGGCTTAAAACCTTTGTGGAGATCGATAACTCGGCCTTCTGTCTTTTTGAAGCCAAGGAAGTGAAACTATTATGAACAACAGAGCAAGGGCTACTTTCGTTTTCCGTCATCGTTCCGATCTCGGTCCTGTCTTCACTGGTTAATAAGAGTCAAAAACAGAATCACATACTGATATAACACCGTACAGTGAACACGATAAAAAGTTCATCTGACTTCATTCATGAAGCTGAACATTCATGAATTGGATATCAAAGATATCCAATACTTCAAGACCGAGATTATCAATTAACATTCGATAATATACACTTTGAAATCATCCATGTAAGCATGATCAAATAAACGATTCAAACTTTCTTACACACAGACAATAGTTGCCTGAATCAATGAAAAACAACATATAGAACTGAAAATAAAATACAAAAATGTAATCAAAGCACAAGCAATATATCATATACACATACTTACAAACCAGAGACATCGTGTGATTCATCAAGCCATGAACATATAATCAAACGGTGGAAAAAGCATGATCATTAGTGATTATCCATAGAATGATCTTTAGTGGGACCATTTTCTTAAAACGAACAATTGAAAAACAGAAACCATATCCATGCATGGATGAACCATAGATGCATCTGATTTGCAGTTTTATTAGTAACTTAATAATACCAACCAAACATTAACAGAACTATGATTAAACAACTATTTTTGAAGATAACATTGAAGCATACGATAATACAAAACAATAGCATGCTTACACTTACAAGCAAGCACCTCCAATTTCATCAAAATCAGATAGGATTTCAGCAACTCACCAAGAACATAAAGTTTGCATTGGACAGAGAGATTAACTCAAGCATTGTACAGTAAGTTGAAAATTTTGAGGACTCAACTCAAGAAAAACATCCAAATTCAACAAAAGAAAACTGTAGTTGATAGTTTTTTGTTAAGAAAAGACCCCAAAGTCCAGAATTCAGTTTTGCTCTAGTTTTCTTCAAGAAAACATTGAAAGCGGCAAACTTTTTGTTTAGGGCTAAAAGACTGGAACTTTATAGCCAAAAACTTTTTTTATATGCAAACAAAGTTCAAAACTTAGAGAATCAAAATTGCTTTAATCCAAAATCTGCAAAAGTTGGTTCAAAGCTTTAAACCCCAACACTGCTAAAGGCTCAAAGAAGCTGAGAAAGAGAGAATATGGAAAGAGAAGTGGGAGTTTTTTTGGGATTTTGAAGCAATAAAATAAAGAGATTGAAAAGAAAAACAAAAGGGGGGGGGGAGAGAGAAAATTTATAAAATTGAATAATTTGTTCTTGTTTTATTATTTGACAGTTAATAGTAACATCCAACCATGCAAAGTGCCAAAGCACCTTATGTGGTTGATTTAAGGGTAAATTATGCCGATGGTTATTAATGTTTGGGTAAGTGTTCGTTTTTAATATTGATGTTTAAAATATTACAAATTGATCATTAATATTATCGTTTCTTACAAAATGGTCACTAACATTATCGTTTATTATAAAATGATCACTAAAAATTAACAACCGTTAACAAATCGTTACTGCAGTAATGGAATACTGACGTCAGCATATTTCTTCTCTTTATTCATAACCTATTAACCATGGAAATAGTACAAAGTTCAAAACAGAAGATATCCATGAGGAACATATATAATAAAATCAGAAAACATGACGACAAGCCCCCGCCCCCTCGTTTTTTTTTCTTTTTGGTCAAACTGAACCACACTCCGTGTACTTGTGTTTGTGTACGGAGCAGAAGAAGTTGAAGTAAGAAATATTCAACCAAAAGCACTAAGTTTGACTCAAAACCCAAAATGAGTTTCCTTTGTTCTTTAGTAGCAACAATTCAGCAGTTCCTAACATTGCATGCAAAAAATTATTATATCTGGTGCAAGGTTAATGGTAGGACAGCAAGAACATCTTACGTACACTTGTTCCTCCACGTGCATACATTAGCAATGTTCGACAGCCTCCACATATGAGTTGAGTCGTTTACATTCCTGCAGGATTAATGTAACGGGTTATCAAACCAAAAGATTCTTATCAAATATATTTCTCTCGTTCGTTAACATCAATCAGAATAAGAGGAATGTTAGTCGCCACCCCAGACTAATGTTATGTACCCTTGCTGTAATTAGTCCTCTTGTTTATGTAGAACAATTCTAGAATCTAGATAAGAAAACCACCATTAATATTAGAATTACCAGAGAGTTTTAGACCATATGTTAACAAGGGAAAAAGTTTTTAATGCCACTAAGTAAGAAGTAAGAACGTTGCAAAAATTTACCAATTTTATGAAGTAGACATCTTTTGAGTTTCAACTAATAATAATCATGTCAATAATACTGAAAACTAGAAACTGTTCACATCTTTTGAGTTTAAAAAATTGCTAGTTATTTTAAAGAAGAAGAACTGAGCCAGAAATGGAGGTGGAGTTAGGGTTAGAATTTGGAGATTTTAGGGATTTTGGGACTTTTTTTTTTGTAATTTTAGAAAAAGAAAGTTTTTTATGAACATTATATTTTTTAAAATTATTTCAAAATTATCGAAGTGTGATACATGTCTATTAACGGAATCTTTTAACGATCGTTATGTAATGGGCACCTAAAGTGATATTGTTTGTAAGGTTAGACACCCGAATCATTCAAAAAATCATATAAACACCTATTCATGATAAAAGACTATAATTTGAGTATTTATTTTATAATTAAGCCTTATTATTACTATTATTATACTAGGTAAGAAGTCACTCAAAATCTCTCGTTTACCTGCTTGTTGGGTGACCTGCTTGTTGGGTGAAGGTTGCCATAACACACTCATTTTGGTTTCAATCTTTTCATCTTTAATTTAATTGGGTAAATTACGCGTTTAGGTATTAAAACAAATCAAAATTGATCGGTTAGGTATTAAACGTGAAATTTACCCAATTTAATTTGCTGCTGATATTCCACCTCTACTCTTGTTTCTCCTCTCTCAACAATTCATTATGGCACATGGGACTAATGTGTTTTGGATTTTATTTATTTCATACAATTTTTAAACTCAAATTTAAATGTTCAAGTTGAATATTTAATAATTATAAATGATTCAAATTAATTATAATTTATAAATAAATAGATTAATCATGAAAAAACTATTTTTTCTTTAATAAATAGTGTTGCATAACTCAATTCTAATCCTGTTAAAATCAAGATAAATTTACTATACTAATATATACATATAATTTATTTCAATTTATAACTCCTTAAATTAAATAATAATTTATTATATCATAAAACATATAATGTCATTGCATGTGCTAAATTTTACTCTTTAATCGAGCTATAATTTTGTATTTATAAATGCAATTATATTATGTACTAGTTACACAATCAAGATATCAACCAACAATTTATTATCCCAAGATTTATTAATTATTGATATATCAAACTACGTAAGTTCTACACTCACCATTAAGAATATATTTTGAACATCACAATTGGACTTAATTTATATACAAACTTAAAATTATCTTTTTTAGTCCGTTTCAATGTATTATTATATCATACTAACATATTTATATTTTAACTCAAGTGTCAACTACAGTTAAGATAAGTTATTTTCGGAATTTTAGACAATATAAAAGCTCTAACATGAATTATATAGTGCCGTTTAACAAGATGCCGCTATATATACATCTTATTGCGGCGTTTGATTTAAGAACGCTACTATATTCATCTTGTTGCGGCATTTTTCTAAGAAACGTCACTAAAATATGGGTCTATAGTGGCGTTTGTTAAGAAATACTACTAATGTTATACTTTTGTGACGTTTTAACTATAAACTTCTCGATATGTAAAATCTTAGCAAATTTTACTATTAAAACGCTACTAAAAATGTCACTAAAAACATATTTTGTTGTAGTGAAATTATTTATCATATAACAAACAATCTTGCTAATTAGTTGAACCGATAGATAATCAACATATATTATTTCACAATCACTTTAAATTATTAAAAAATATTGATAAAAAAATATCGGAAGAGAGAGATATATATTCATAGAGGTCACATGGTAGTAGAAGATAATTTATTTTCAGAGTGGAACTCGGGCGTAGGTCTCGGTTTAAAACCACGATACTTGTACAGGCAAACATGTATCGTGTAATAATAATGTAAGTAAAGTTGCCTAGTTTTGTTTTTAGTATAATCATGAAATTATTCTAAACGTTTATATAAATTATTATTTTAATCCTTTTATTTTGAAGTATTTTAACTTTTTAGTATTCTAATCTTTGGTCAAAATAACTTGAGATTATTAATCGATAATAATAATATATATTATTGACGTGATAGTTTTATATATTAGTTTTCCTTATTATTATATTATACATGTTTGACTAATGATTTACTTGGATATTTTAATAAAAAAATTATACTGTTTGGAATTAAAATATTTCAAAAAAGGGTAAATTACACATCAACACCTAAGCTATTAATTTTGGTCTATTTTAGTACTTATACTTTAAATTAAAAAAAAACTATACTTAATGTTTAGTTTTTGTTTCATTTTAACACCCATTGTTAAA